CCCCAATTTAGTCCATCCACCGTATCCATATTTTGCCAGAAGCTTCAAGGTAATGGTCGCCAACACTTTGATGGATTCGATTTGGGTCTGATTTGGCAGGCGCTCCACACAGAACTCTAAGCCAGCTGTAAAGCATCATCAGCAATAGCCCTCAGGAGTTGTTAAAGTGCATATGCATGTTCGTACTGATTTTGACAGACCCATCCAGGCCTAGTAGGATATTAGAACACGTCAGGGATTTATGCTCGAAGCCAGCTGTGATCAGGTAAGACAGGCCATGGAGAACCTCCTGATCGTCAGTAATGTTCTAGCGACGGCTGGTCTGCGGAAGACTCACCTGTTCAATGATCGAAGCCAACTGACTCTCGCTGGGGTAAGCACGGCAGCCAACCAGTTGCACGAGAGTGAGAGGAAGATCATCAACCAGAGCATACATGGCTTCTTTGTCACTGTAGCACTCCCTGGCGGAGATGATGTTTTGATGTTGGACTTGCCTGAATTTCTGTAACATCCTCTCTGCATCTCCCATAGGATATTCCCGAATGGCCACAACTCGGGACGGACGAGTACGGTGGACAGTGATGGTGACAGTGCCGGCAAGCTTGCAGTTGAACACCTTCAGAAACGTGTCCCACGGAGATTCATTCTGGATGATTAGCAACTGAACTCCAGACTCAACGATCTGGGGGAGACCGAGGCTTCTTTGAGGGCTCTTCAGAAGCTTCCTGGTACACTTCTGAGCTGGAGGAGCTTTTCTCTTGCTTGTACTTTTCGATTGGAGATCATGCTGTGATTGATGGAGCTCATCAGACCGACCTGCTGATGAAGTAGACTCTGAAGGAGAAGCATACCGGGCTTTCAGCGATTTAAAATCAATCACGGTGGCGCGCTTATCCGATTCCGTTGACATATCGTCTCTAGATATAACAGGAATAGGCTAGCAAATATGGTATCAGATAGGGCTTGAAGAGTCTGGATCGATGAATGCAGCAACGGGACATAACTCAGTATTTATAGTGTGTAAAGAGCTTGAAATGGCATCTGGTGATGAAACAGGCCACACTTTTTCTGGTGCCTTCTACAGGGGTGACTCAGATATAAGTATTAATATGTTGCTGGAGTGTGCAATAGCACACAAACCCTCCTAAGGCTCCAGGAATTTCTCTTCCAGGCTATCATATCTAATTCAGCCATGGAGCGATCCATGTTCACTGATGTGGAACTACAACTGACAACAGAGCAGAGCACAAAATACCAGGGAACTGTTAAAATCAATCTGAGCCAAATTGCCTTCCATCCGTCTCTATCCCGCGAGCTCGACCAAAAAAATGTAGAGCGATTATGTGAAATCTTCAACAGGGATGACTGTCAATGGCTGGACATTCAGCATCATGTCACCGCTGTCGTCTCCCAGCAACACCTTGCGAACACCCTCCATGCAGCACATGTGACAGCCCATGCGCTGTTGACTAATCCTTCTGACCGATACCCCCAGCTGCAGTTCCCCACAGGACAGATACGGTGTGTTCACAGTCAACATTGTCTGAAAGCTGGTGAGGAACTGCTACCACCCAGCGATCAGTGATGGACTGTTGACCTTTATCTGAATGGTATGGTTTACACACTCATCCTTGCCCCCCTTTCTGCCCTGCACCCCCCTCTGACATGCCCAACACGCAGACATCAGCTCTGACCTTCAAGCGTCCCTTGTTGACAAATATTCCAACAAAAAACCACCAAGCGATGGCGAAGTCTACCGGAAAGTCCGCCAATATCAATATGAGGCAAATGCCCGCTTTGAGGAACGGTGGAAGTCTCGGCTATCAAGCAACAAAGCCAAGCAGCTTCGGCAACTCTCTTCACCTGCGCACATCGATGTCTGTGCTGCGTTCGATGCGTTGTTGGCAATCCCTGGACTGTGGAATGGAATGAATCTCGGCTCCCTTCACTGAGTACTGGTGTTGAACTGTGATGAAGTTTGTTCTTCCCCGTCAACTCCCATAGTCTTCTGATGCTAATCCGTGTAGGAAATCATCACTTACCTGGCACACGTGAAGCAATTCTGGTCCTCTCTCATGGACGATGACCGCAATAAGATGATGAAAATCGACCTACATACGGTGGAGATCCTACAGCTTTTGGCCCCTGGGCTTTCTCACAAGGATGCGAAGACTGTGCGGTGCGTTGTTCTAGGTGGCGAGGTCTTTACCAATTTCAACGATTCCGACCGTGCCGCTATCTGGAACAAATTACAAGGAAAGAGAGAAATCATCCCATCCCTTCACACCTTCTTTCAGGACATCTATTATCTCGAGGCATGTGCCAACTGCGTGAAGCGACTGGTTGTTCCCAGCAGACTTCGTCCCACACTCTGAAGTGCTGTGCTGGGCAGCCTTAAACCTCCCGATCCCGCGGTCAAGTATTGTATGATCCAGACATCGGAGACTGGCCATCGACGTTCGGGCTCTCCGACCCAACGTGCAGAGCTTGGGTACCGACAGCTTTGGCTGTACACTATGCGCCATTATCTGAAAATGCCCAGGGAGCCAGAGAGTGACGATCTTGTGGCGAAACCTGGTCACGAAAAGGCTGATGAGACAGCGCTCCATGAGATGGCTGTCCTTGCACAAAAACTTGGTTTTGACTCTCCACAAATCACAGATCTCATCGAGCTTTCTCCCGATCATCAGATCATGCGGGCTGTCCTTCTGAAAGCACAGGATCCTGAGCGGTTTCGATACAAGAGTGGGGTATTTGAGACCCTTATTGGTCGCATTGCAGAGTGCTTCTCTCTTGCCGTCCCCGTTGAGCGCCAGCTCTCTTGCGATTTCACCCCTGGCAGTGAGGCGAAGCCATATGCTCGGTGTGGGCTCCCGCACGCCAGAGCGCAGCAGCAAGACCATCGGTTTCTCTTCATCGACCAACTGCATACCGATGAGATTCCGGCGGCCGGGAAGGTCTCCACATTGTTCGTGAGACGATGCATCTATTTTGCTTTTTTTTGGCAAGCCACTGACATCTCCACCCCCCGACCATACTTGGGTTGGAGCTGCCCCTTTAGGAAGTGATCCGTCCAATTTGCCAATGTCGCCGCTTTTCATACCTGATGATAGTCCACTTACAAGATTCGGACAGGCTCCTTTGCTGGAAAACGATGGTTATACCACTATTGACCATGGCGAGCTAGGTCCAATGCAGCTAGAGGTGGCACAGAGGGCCACTGCCGAAGAAACCCGAGTCCACACAGAAGTGGAAGAACGGGAGATCGCCTTGCAGGCCGAACAAGCACGAGAACAGGCTGCCGACGAAGCCCAGCGTCAAACAGAGGCTGAAGAGATGGCAGCGGCTGAGGCTGCCAAGAGGCTTGCCCAATGTCAGAAGGAAGCCGAAGAAAGAGCATTCATCGAGCGCTATGCTGCGGAACAAGAACAGTTTCGACAAGAACAACTGAGACAGGAGGAGGAAAGGGTGGCTGCCAAACAATATGCTGTGGAACTAGAACAGCTTCGCCAGCGGGAGGAGGAAAAATTGGCCGCTGAACGATATGCCGCAGAACAAGAACAACTGAGGCAGGAAGAGGAGGAGGCAAGAGTGGCCGTTGAACGATATGCTGGGGAACAGGAACAGCTTCGGCGAGACGCGGAAGAAGCTGCAGCTGAGCAAGTTAAACGAGAGCAAATTCAGCGTGAACAGGAGGAAAGGCATACTGTCGAGAGAGCTGAACAGGAACAGGTTCAAAAGGAGGCTGAGGAAAGGGCAGCTATTGGGCACGCGGCTGGAAAGGCGCGTCTTCAACAAGAAGCGGAAGAAAGAGCCGTTGCTGAGCAAGCAGATCATGAGCGGCCTGCAAGAGAGGCAGCGGAGCCAGTACAGCTGCAGCTGGAGGAAGAAGAGAGGGCGGCTGTGCCAACAGCCGCAGAGGAGACGCACACCCCACAGCCCGTCACACAGCTCGACTTCACACCCTTCATGCCCATTAAGAGTGATGGCGCTCACAGCACCGTTGACCCTGCAAGCACGGAGCGAGCGACGAACGTCGCAGACCCCCCTCCAGAAGTTGAGAGTTGAAAAGCTGCTGAAAGCACCGCCGGATCAACACGGTTGGAAGTCTCCCAAACGCGGCAGGGTAAGCTGCGGAGACCTGGAGGCATCCCAAAAGCTTCGGAGAGAGGTGTTTCACAGGGCACTGCGAGGATAGCCGCTGCCGAACGATCTTTGAAAACGGGCAACAGACTCCAACGCTCGCAGCCAGATTCGCAGCTTCAAGGGGCATCCAGGCTCGAGGATGTGTCAACCGGCGCTAGAACGGTCATGATCATTTTCAAGGCTCGCGAGCAAGGGAATTGGGTCGACACATATAAGATGGTTATTAACCCGTCCGAGCCTTCCGACCGGTCTATGGTGGAGTGAATGGCTAAGAAGGATGCTCAGAACCGACTGGCGATCTTCTATGACAAGAACTTGAAACTGATCGCTCCTGTACAGTGCTGTGATGCGGCCATCGAAGATGGGATCAACACCGTCTTCATGGTGTTTGACGGGGAGTTGAACGTCAACGAAGAGATGATGGCGTCTGTGTCACAGTATGCCGACAGCGAACGAGAATGAGAGAGAACTAAGCATCGTGCATGATCCAAAATGCGGGAAAGTCCTGGGGCCTTTGGTTGTGGGTCCTTGGTCGCCACAGGACCACAGAAATCGATTCAATGGCCTCTGCTGTCCACAGACCAGCATGGCCTCAAATTGGCTGTCTTTGAGTCTATCAGATCCATGGACTGCATTCCATGGACCAGTCAGATCTATGAGCTCCTGACTCCAGCATGGCAATCTAGGTCAGTGAATCTACTGCACATGTTCTTAAGCACTGATCATAGTACCCCTTTCCTTGATCATTGTGCTAGTGACCACATGATGTAGTCTCTGGCCTTTTGTCAGCCTTCTTCTGCCACTGTGCCTCTGGCCCGATTGGATTTCGGCCCTCGGGTTGACCCTTGCACGGAGACGGTTTTTAACTGAAGTACTTACATCCCTATCCTTCAGTGAGCTACATGGGTGGTGAAAAGAATGCTGACTAATCTTGCTGATAACTCTAAAGTGTCTAGTTTCAGATATGGTGAGTTTCTGCAAACGACAACGGGTTGCTGTATCATTATTGCTTGAGATTGATACCAACCGCTATCGCAATTGCTATTATTACTGAATTATTACTAATTACCCAATATCCTAGAAGATGATGTTGAGTTTTTGATGATATCACATGGTCAATAGATCTTCTCACTCGAATCTGGATGAGATCTTACAGCACAGGTAAATTTTTATGTTGTTGTAATTGCAACGGTATTAACAGATAGAAATTTGAATACATCTTTGAATTAGCTGAATGATAAAAAATATCTGGTAATGAAAAACAATTATATTTAAATAGAGTAAATGCCGACCAGCGGGTCTTGCTGCGAAGATGGTGCAAAGAAATAGTATATAACCGTTTGTGCCGAAGCCAAAGGGTTGTGCAATGGCAATATTTTATCCTTAATCAAATGTGAAAGGGAAACGGAAAGGCAAGTGGGGGTGTGAGGAATTGTGAATGATCTGTGAGATGAGCAGGGGCTTCCAGGCACACATGAAACTCCCATCTTGATGATTGGCCTCCTCACACTGGTTGCCACGCGGGGACCAAGATGGTTGGGAGCTCGGTGGCAGACAGCCAGTCGAGGCACCGGGTTCACCGGATTGTGCGAGCATCCTGTACTTGGGCGAACGTGTAACGGTTCCGTGTGCAGTTTCCGCATGGAGCAGAAGATCTTTCAGGGTTTTCAGCCTCACATTGCAGATATCACAATCCATTGGCTGGAACTGCTTCAGATGCCGCCTCTGAAAATGTTTGGTCAAGTCCCCCAGCTCATGGAATGAATAGACTCGGTCCGCCAGCGAGAGTTTGGTGTTCTGCAAACAGAGAAAGCATATTTTGGGTCGCCGTTCCGTCCGGACCGCTCGTACGGCCGACTCAAGGAGTGTGTTGGATGATGGCTGGGCCATCACTTCCACCTTGACGGCCATTGATTTCACAGTGGTCGGCTTGGGGCTGGAGCCATGACCACGTCGACGGCAGAGCGGCCCCTCTTCAGCACCGCAGTATGCACTGACAGCGTGGATGGCGGTGATCCGTCGTTGCAGTTCCGCCTCTGAGGTCTTTGGCGGCAGTGTTAGGACCGCGTCGATCATGATCATCTGTTCGGGTGTCATGTACCCAGACCGCTCCAGCGCACTTCTCACATCCTCATCGACGACCTTTCCGGAGAGCTGCCGCTCGCTGTCGATCACAGGTTGTTCCTGCCGGTATCGCTCTAGAATCTTACGCTTGAGCGCGATCCTCGCGCGTTGCTTCTCGCTGCGGAGCCGGCGAACGGCCTTGTGATATCTCTCATCTCGCCTCTCGTGCTTCTCAACCCGGCGCCTGTATTTCACTTCCCATCGTCGGTCTTTCTCGGCCTTCCGCCGGTACCTTTGTCCCACCCGACCGCGGAGCCAGCTTGCGGTAGAGTCACGGCGCTTCTTCAGGCGTTCGACTCTTCGAGCGATCTTCAGGATGTGTGGCTGGTCATTTACCAATCTCGACTGCTCCGGCGTCAGCTTCCATGGTTGGCGAGGGTCGATGGACCGGCTCATCAAGCACATCATCCTCATCAGCGCCTTCTGCGGCTCGAGGACACGGTAGATGCTGAGGACATCAGCGGTGATGTTTCGGTCCAGATAGTGTTTGAGGAACGTATCGATGCTGGCGTGCTGGAGCATCAGGTTCTGGAGAGAATCGCTCACGTCCGCTGTTCGACGGCAGCATCATCAACAGGCATGCTCACTCTCGAAGAGAGAAGGGGAGGAAGGGACAGATGGACACTCACGGCTCTCATTAAAACCCTTCACTGATGCATCACGGAGGACATAAGGCTTCGTGACCTGCTGGAAGCCCGTGATCTCGCCGCCCTTTTTCATCCGAGTCCGCACCAACGCTGTGGTCAACCGGATCTCATGCGCAATCCGGACGCCACCTCCTTCGCGGACAGCCGAGCAGAAGACAAACAGATCCGCCAGGTCATCCCACAGCAGTAGTTCCTGCTGATTGAGTCCATTCAGAATGCCCAGGCTGTAGAGATCCTTGGTGCATCTGATGCCTGGTGACTTGAATGCCTGAATGTGGAACAACATCCCCAGAAGGAAGACATGAGGACTGAGCATCAAAGTTGGATCGTAGATGATCTCCGGAAGCCAAAAAGTGTTACTGAACAGGGAGTTAGTCGGCTCGTGAAGGAACAAAGCAGCCAATGGGGGAAAACTTACGCATCCTTCATGCCCAAGAAGGTCTTGGTGAAGTGGGCGGTCAGCCCAATGCACAGATGAGGTGCGCTGGAATGGGGGTCCCGGACCAGCATGAGCTCCAGATCCCAATACTGAAGCTGGGTCAAGGCATCTGGCCGATTGCCCGTGACCCCCGCGACCTGGCAGAAGAGGATCAGCTCGACGCGCAGCCAGCCGATCAGAAACTCCATCTCGTTCATGACCAGAAGCACGCGGAGGTACTCCGCGAGGTCGTCAATGTACATGGGATCCCCCGGCCTCTTCTCGCGGCTGAGCTTCTTCTCATCAGCGATGAGCTCGATCACCTGCCGCAATAGTTTAGACGGAGATATCAAGAAAGGAGAGGATCAGACATCAGGGTAGGAGCCACATTACATCCTGTGCTTGTGCCATGATCAGAGGATCGATGCTGTCACCCGTGTCTTGCTTATAGACCTGGGAAAATTGCTTCCAGAAGGTTTCCAGGGAGCTGATGACTTGGATCCCCGGTCGCCTTCTTCCCCCTTTGCCGCGATGCTGGTCGCAGGCCCAGCTGAGGAACCCTTTAAGGGATTGGATTGAGAGAGTTCGGTAGGCGTCGAGCACATCCCTCCTCCTCATGTATTCGCAGTATCTGAGAGCCTCCACGGTTAGCGGGATGGTTTGGGCCTCACTTGAGATCACACTCACCGGTGCCAGTGGTCTCGGACTCTATCCATGTTATCAACTGTGGTTTTCTTCAAGCGGCGCTGCCGGAGTTGTTTGACATCGAGAGTAGTCTCCTCAGCCTCATAATGTTCGGGAGGAGGAAGCTTGTCTTCTTCTGAGATCTCCGCATCACTGTCATCACTGTCCTCGCTGTCCTCGCGTCGGTCTCCTCAGTC